TTCTGTGAGTTTCAGATACCCTCGTTAGTTCACATTTGGGGGAGTAGACCATTTAGCCCCCTTTTATATATATGTTGTCAGGGGTAAGTCTTGAAATTTTTGAACTATTTTGGACTCGATCGTTCGTTTACTTTTCGAGTTATCTTATTGATTAAACAATGTTAATAGTACGTGCCCACCATTAGCCTTTCTTTACTGCATGCAAGTCTCAAGATAAAATTTTCTAAGTCAAGCACTTACTTCAACGAATATGTAATATGATCACCGCTCCAACATTCACCAATTAATATCGTCGATGAAAACGGAAAAAAACTGATTGTCGATTTTACTGCGCACAATCTTAGATATTTTTAACTTAGAATTTTTCAAGAAAGTTGACTTACATACGCAGACATATTCCAGCATTTGAATCGATTAAAACTACTTCTACTGGCTCAACAAATTATCAATTTTGGTGTTCGTTTTGTCAGTTATCAATGTGCGTTGCTGAACTCTACTCTGAATTTGCGTAATTTTTTTGTGTTATTTTTTTCTTCCATATTTTTGCATGTCTCTCTATGTAGATAGTTTTGTTTATAGATCATGATTGCATTGATTGGCAGCTCGATTGTGTACGCACTCTTTGGGTCTCTCCAGTACACAATTCTGGCTTTGGTGTTTTTCTGGATTGACCTGAGCAACCCCGGACAAATGCTGATTTTTATGGGAATGGCCCAAATTGTTGGCACCATCGGTGTAATTCTACGCAGTCCTGTCCTGATCTTCATGAAACCGATTAGAGAAGCTCTGAAGCGTGCGGTACTTTCATTCAAAAAATGAAGTGCACAATTAACCTAATAATCCCGTTAACTACCCCGATTAGAAATGCTGTAAATAGACCCTGCGTTTTTCATAATTCAACCTTATCAATTAGTCTAAATATTTCTCTGCAAAACACCAAGGATATGCAAATTAAATGATGGAGTTTGCAATGTATTTTATAAATGAGTTTCTAAATAGCACATCATATATTTTCCGGGAGCTTAAGATTATCAGGTGTATGGTATGCTCCCAAAAACTCAAAAATTACTTGGATCTGAAAGAAAGCCAGGATAAACACAAAAAAAAACATGTCTCTGAAACTGCTTTTGTAAAAAAAAATGTATTTTTTGAAGTTGAATATAATTTTTGAAGTCTTAAATTGTCTGTGCTTGATTTTCACTGCCAAACCAACCACCCCAAAATACGATAATCTTTTTATCATGATGTCAATGTTTAACACAGAAGCGAAATTGCACTTCGCATACGCAAGCAAAAATGTGACCAATAACGCTACTGGGAAAAACTGAATGAGTAAAACTTTGAGTCTACAAAACTTCTTAAGTAACGCACGCCAAATATGAGTCTACATAATTGCTAATAATAATGCAAGCCAATTATGACGCATTAGCAGAAACAGTCAATTTGAAAAAAAAAAGAAGTTTACCAACTAAAATGCTTCAATTTATAGAGCAGACAATTTTTAACTAGTATACGAAAAAGTTCATTAAAAACATACGCTTCTGGTCTCCTTTCCTTGCTCTATGCTACAAATCCACGGTTCCTTCAAGCTAAAGTGCTATTTGTTATATAATAGTCTGTGTTAATATCCTTAGCAGTGGCTGTACTAAATAGCTGGATCAAAATGAACACTTTCAAATTGAACAAATTTTGTCGCAACAAATGCATCGCAACAATATTTGCGACTTCTGCTGGAAAAAAAAGAAAGGTCAAAGTTTCAAGCTATGCTTGTGTAATCAAATCAAGAACAATATAAACACCGGGTTGAATCTCTATCTAATGTTTAAACACATAACATTTTTTTGAAATCAAATTTTCCAAAAGATAAAATCTAAAAGAAAACACCTTCTCCGATGTCAAATTTGGCTGTTCAAATTTTTTTTAAATGTAAAATCTTACACCGCGTAACGTATAGAAGCACTTGCGGTGAACTTGGAATTCAAACTATGAAAACTCAAAGAATCAAACGCTTTTTTATTTTGATGACTAAAAATAAGCAATTTTTGAGCTACTGCTGATAATCAGTTTTCTCAAATGCACTTTCGACCAATCTTTTTTTTCTACATGATCACAGATAGGGTATCAAAAACTTCGGTTAGATTCTATTGTGAGAGCAACTTACTATCAGGACGACCATTATATAAATTTTGAGTTTAGCTGAACAAAACTGTTGCACCTTGCATACACAGTCTGGAAAAACAAGAAAAAAACTGAATCAAATGATGATAAAGCTTTACAATAAAATGAAATTTTGGATGCGAAGTTTAAAGTAAATAACATTCAAACCGATGGTGAGATGCTCTTTTGACTAAACCTAAGTTATTTTTGGCTTGCATAATTGAATTAAGATTTAAACTGCAATCCTATTAGCAATAAGGAGAGCCAATCGTTGTTCAAGTAAAGCAGAATGTTCCGACAACATTTAAAACACAAAAAATCAAAGAGTATCAGTTTTTTATTTTTCCGAGAAGAGAGGGGATGGAGGGACACAAGGAATGTCATTAAATAGTAAAACTAGGTTAATGAAAAAGAAAACAAAATTGGACTGAAAGTGAAAACTTGTCTGAAGACCAGTTTTCTGATCGATTTTGCCCAGAATAAAAAAACTCTACTCCAATTTTCCTTGATAAACACTTTTTTCTTTATTCTTATCCGGGCTACGACCAATTATGGTTTTATGATAACCCATGTGATCCCTAAAAAATTTTTTTTCAAGAAATCAAAATTGGTTAGAAAAACTCCCCCTACGCCATATTTTTCCCAATTCTTCGTTGACTCACTGATACAAAAAACAGTGTTTACTCGGAGCCGAAGCTGCGCTTTGCAAACACTGGCAAAAAAACGGCAAGAAGTAGCTTTATAAAATAAAATTGGAAAATGAAGAAATAAGCCTCGAGTTAGTAACAAAATATATTTTGTGTCGGACTCGAATTTGTGACCTCGGGATTTGGAATTTGAAGTTCTCGCGTCTGTTCCACTAACTTTGACAAACTTATCAACACTAGCCACTGATATTCCAATGCAGCTATCGATGCTAATATAGTGCCAATGCTATGCAGCAAAAAGGCCACCAAATTAATATGAAACTAGTGCTAAGGTTAGGTTGATAAAAAACGTTGAGCCATACTAGTACACTACGCTCGCTAGTTCGCTTAAGTAATGAGTCAACCAAGCCCAAGATAGATCATAGCCCAAATTTGAACAATGCGCGATCCATTCGTTAGCGTTTGATTGTAAAAACTTATCGTGACCTTTATACCAAAAATATCAACAATCCCGAATAGTTATAATTTTGAAGTTCGAAGTGCTTTGAACTTGATGTTGAAAAAAAGATAACCTATGTGAGTTAAATGAAGTTTGAGGCAGTTGCAACTTATATTCGGTGACCCTTGGTCAGAAAAAACTGTAGGGTTTTTAAATCAAATTCGAAATCACCAGATACCTTGGAACGTGGCAACGTTATATAGCCCAATAATAGCTGGTGTATCAACGCTGCTAGTTTAAGTCAATAGACTACTGCTGATTGGCTTTTATTCATTGTCACAAAAAGACAACATTTATGCCAATGAACAATTCAAACTGTTGATATGCCAATTTTCTGACAGAAATTATTGTTAAAATGCAAAGTTAAATATATCGAAAAACTTAAAGTCTGTTTTGCAGACTAAATTACACAAAATTTGATAATAGACTGAACTACCAATTCAATTTCATTCTAAGTTGTCAAAATACGTTTTAGATACTTCTCATTCTTGCAGTTTTTACATCTTAATCGATTGCCTTTTAACTGAAACAAAAACAAATGGAAAACTAGACAGAATGAACATAGTCGTTTTTATCACTGAAAGTAAGGAGAAACTTCGCTTGTGCTCATTTTTCTTTTTAATTTTATTTCACATAGCATGTACCAAAAAATCATCAAAATAGATCGAATGGTACAATATGTTGAAACAACTGCAGTCGTGATTTGAAAGAAAATGAAAATTCCTAAACTTTTTGCAATGACGAGAAAAAACCGGTTTCAGTATTTCTTAACTTTTTCTCTAATTTCAATAAGCGGGTGAGGAAAAAGCGTAAAGCGTATATTAATCTAAAACATAATTTTCCGGTTCAAACTAGCAGTTTTTGAAGTTTCCTTTAGCAATTTTCTAGCACCAAAAATTCAAAATTGAATCTTTCAAAAAAGTAACCTGAGATTACCCGAACTCTATTACCGGAAAAATAAAGAGAGAAAAACGAAAAGTAAATAGTACTCTCTAAATATTAATAGACACAGAGGCGAAGCTTCGCTTCGCAAACACTTGAGTAGTAGATTTTCGAGCTGAAGTGGAGAGGGGGATGTGCTGGGAGGCCCCCATGTTTTAAGATAGGGAATAGAACACCAGGTCTCCCAGCTATGTATTATCATTGGGTACAGAGTCTAAAATGTATTAAGACAGGGAAGACGATTAGTAATAAGGTTTCATGGTTTGTGTAATGGTAAGAGACCTGATGTTCTATTCCCTATCTTAAAACATCTGGGTCTCCCAGCACCCCCCCATTTCAGCTCCAACATCTACTACTCACTTGCGAGAACACGACAAAAGACAAAAAGCAGCTCTAAAAAGTTCCATAAAAAATAGAAACAAGCCTCGAATTAGCAAAAATTCGGTTATTCGAACCTGCGATCTAGAGATTGGGAGTCTCACACTCCAACCACTTAATATATTCAAAACACTAGCCACAAAAAAGAAGAAAACAGACGCTGCGCAATTTCCAATGCTACCGTAAAATTTCAAATAAATGAACATTTCAATGAAGTTTTTTATTTGCAAGTTAGGCTTGAAAAAAGGTTTGTATAATTACAATAACGCTCGCAAGTGTAAAAATGTTAATAGAGAAGTTAATAGATTTTAATGGATTTCGGAAATTGAATCATTTTGCTTGCCATACTAGAAACTTGAAACTAGGAAAAGACAGGATGAGTTCAAAATAAAATTTGGAAGACATAAAAATATTTTCATTAGTTTGAGGTTTACAGATAGATCGTTAATTGATCGAAACATCGACGGCTGATTTTCTGTGCTTTGCAAGTCCTCCGAGGTACTGGCATGCAGATTTGGGAATTAGCATGCAATTGTAGAGGGAGTTTGGACTATGAATACATGGAATCTGTCCTGCCAGCAACTTGAAGTATCCTTCTATGTTCCTAAACAATCAAATTAGGTTGAAATTTGATAACCAAAATCCAAACAAAATTCCTATGTCAGTGATTGTTGAAAAGAAAGTTCGACGCAAATACTCTTATCGCCCAAAAGTTCAGAGACCTAGAGAGAGCAGACACTGATTTTTGACAAAGGATTTTTACAGTCAGATCAACTTATGAAAAAATTTAAAAACGCATATGTAAAAACGAATTAAAAATTTCCCCGTCGTGATATAATCGTAATGCATGAGATGATAGCTTTTTATCAAACAGGGAACCTATTTTTAACGACACTTTTTTGATGCTGACTTCTCACACTGATGCTATGGCTGGGCAAATGAATCAATTATGAACCCAGTAAACCATTATTTTAGCAAAATGACATAGATTGTTAAGTAGGCCAGAAAACTGATTCTCCAGATGTTTTGCCGATGTTTGCCCTGTTGATTTTTACCTTTTCGATGCCAGTGAGTACTTGTTGGTCCTTCCTCAGTCCCTCCTTTTCTCTCAAAAGGGTGTGGTAGTTGTCTTCTCTCTTCACGTGAATCTACACAAACACACAAAGAAGAACAGTTTCAATTCAGAGCTGATTTGACTAACAATAAGTCCGTTCTCCTCAAACAACGACCAGTCAAATACTGCAAGAACCCCGATGACCTCTATAAAAGACTCTTTATTTCTTTGATTTCAAGGAAAGTAACAGAAAATTTGTTACGGATGTTACTGCGCCGTTAATAGGCGCAGTAACATCAGTTCACCGAAAAATTAAGGCCGTATGAAAATTGTCAATTTGAGAGAATTAGTGTCCGCAATAATTCTATTTTTGATGCGCGTAATATTTTCTATCAACGCGTAGCGTTGCAGCGAACTAATCTGACTCAATAAATCATTTTAAAAGGCATTTAAGCTCACAAATTGATCCAATAAATGAGTCAGTAGAGGCAAAATTTATCGCTTAATTTGTTTTACAATGCATACGTGATTAATTTTGAAAAATGAAAAACAGTTTTTATTTTAGTAAAGTTTTGACAAATTTTCCAAAAACTAATTCAGAACCCTTCATGAGAAGTTGAAGCATATGGTGCTTTGCCCTGATACAGAGAAGCCCTAGTCTAAAGAGCCAAGGAACTGGACGGTCTAGAAACTCTTTTAATTCCTAGAAAAATTTATGATTAAAACTTTTCTGATTGATTGGTCAATAGATAATCTGAAATTTAAAATCGGAATTTTAAAATCCAATTTCGAAAATAGAAGTTGAACACGCTTTTACGACCTTTAATTTTTTGCTCGAAATGAACATAACTTACAAAAATAGAGCCGCGAAAGATCAAATTTGAGAGGTTAAAAAATTAACCCTTTTTCCTGAAAAAAAATCAGCAAGACCTGAATATGAACCTTCACTACGTTCATCGACTCTTAAAAATTGATATTTTTCATTATTTTTCTATTTTTTAAAATGATTAGTTTTTGTTACGATCATTGACTTACAAAAATAGAGCCGCGAAAAATCAAAATTGAGAGGTTAAAAAATTAACCCTTTTTCCTGAAAAAAAATCTGCAAGACCTGAATATGAGCCTTCACTACGTTCATCGACTCTTAAAAATTGATATTTTTCATTTTTTTTCTATTTTTTAAAATGATTCTTTTTTGTTACGACCATTGAAAATAGGCTTTGTATTCAAATAGGCTTTGTATTCCAGTGTTAGTAAAAATACAAATAGGCTTTGTATTCAAGTGTTTTCTCTTGTTTTTCCACGATAATCATCTAAATAGAACGACTGATGAATCATAATAGAGCTGTTTCAGTACGGACTCAGTGTCGAGAAAAACTCTTGTTTGAACTTTTTGACTAATTTCAAGCAAAAAAGCGGCCAAGAAGGCTCATTATAGAAAAATAAGCCGAGCGAAAAAAAAATAGTTTCAGAGGTTTTAAGCGTTTTGAAAGTAAAAATGTATGTATTCACAACACAAAACATATTTGATTCACATGCAAATTGTTATTGGATGGTCGTCACGCAGAATAATTCATCTAGTTGGAAGTCAACACAAGACTGTTAGAATCAAAAAGAAGCTGCGAACCTTCCGACTGCCCTTGTTTTCAATTGATCATTTTTGATCAGGCGAAAAAAACTGCGAAAAAAGACAGTTGAAAACAATCAAGGAAATAATTTATAAAATAAGATAAAAACAATTAAATACAGAGTTGCAATAGTTAAAAAAGGTTTTAAACTCGAAAGTTCTAGAAAAAAACAAATCACCTCAAAGTTATTTAGACTTCACGAATCTTTGATCTGGACCTTTCTTTGATACAACTAACCCAATAAAGGATAACTCGATATAAAAAACCGAATTTCACATTCCGCAGGAAAATTTTAAAATTGAAGCAGACTTTTGAATTTAAACTTGATATTTTCACGTTTTTTATTTCATTGTTTGGGTGCTGTGTTGTATTAAAAAAACGATCTATAATCAGCTCATGTTCTCATCTTTAAAAGCAATTGGTTGAACCAACAAATCAGTATAGTATCTTAGTAAACAGAATTTTCAAGAAAACCGCCCTGAAAACAGCAAATGCAACAAATTTTTCCATTTGGGTTAGTTTTAGCCTCAAGAAGTAAAAATATTAGGAAAAACACCGGAAGTTTGTTAAGTATACTTAAGTATACGAAAGCACCAAAACACTCAAAAGTTTTGAGACGAGAACATGAAAACCATTCGGCGACTGATTTATCAAAAAACTATGAAAATACCAAACTTTTCGATATCACTCGAAGTGAAAAATTAGTAACATCGAAAAACGAATCAACACTAAATAACAAAAACCAATCTCCAAAAACTGTATAACACTTAAACAATTTCAATATGAATATCAAAAAAGAAACTCTAATTGAACCTAACAAACTTTGGACAACTTAATGCATAAATAAAGAGGATAAACTAATGCATAAATTGGGAAACCTAATGCATAAACCATAAAAACTTGATTGATATAGACTACTGTACTGTTCTTAAGGCATTTACGATTTAATTTAAAAAAATTTAATGATCGTAAATCAAATAGTAAATCTAATTACACTTTGAAAACAAAATTACTTCACAATTAACACCAAATAAACTAAAAGTTTGAAAATTTCACACAGAGCGAAGTTGTGCTTCGCAAACACTAGCAAGAAAACAACAAAAAAGCAGAGCTTTATTAAGTAAGAAAAAAAGTGAAAAAAAAGCTTTGAAAATAAACGTTTTTGCTGTGGCACATTCGATCCCACAATCAGGATAATTAGAGTCCCTTGTCCTCGCATCTGCGCACGGGCCGGCCACAAATAAAGCTAATAAGTGTGAAAATAAAATGCCGATTGCGATGCGGCACCAAAAACAATAAATCTGGAATATAATCACACTAACTTTGTAGACAAAAAATTGGAAATTATAAAACCAACTTATGTATAAATTACACATTTTAAACAATCGCGAGATATATTGAATTGGAAAACTTCTTTCTGAAGCCAAACTTTTATTATTGTGCTGTTTTTTAAATGAACAGCTTTGGTCGGTTCATTTGATGAATTAAAAATGCATCAATTGCGTGAAAAGATTCCCAATCGAATGTCAACATGCATGCTCTCAAAGTCGTAGAGGTACCACTTAAAAAGGCACCAGCATTTGCGACTGAAGTTGGAAAAAATGGTCATATTATTACACTACGCTCGCTAAAGCTTGTAAGTGAAACACAGAGGCAAAGCTAAGCTTCGCAAACAATGGCGAGAACACAAAGAGCAAAAAGAGAAAGTAGTAAAACCCTCGAATTAGTAAAAAAAAAATACATCGGCTACGTATCGGATTCGAACCTGCAAACTTAAGATTATGGGTCTAACACACTAACCTCTCAGCCCCGGACGCTTAACCAAACAAATTCACTAGCCTATAAATACAGTAGAGAACAGTTGCTTCCAAATTTCCAATGATACAGATCCTGATCATAGCACAAGTGCCACCAAATGATCACTTTTATTTGCGAGTTAGGTTAGAAAAGAAGGTCCGTTCGAATAAGTTGACGCTCGCAAGCTTGATATTGTAAATAAAGACGTCATCCATTTTACATTGTGATCAACTGACTATTTTCAGAAATCGAGACTACAATATTTTCTTCGTTTAGTTTTCGGGATAAAAAGTACATAGCTTAACTGAATAATTATAGATAAAGTAGTACTTTTTATAAGGTTCTCAGCGGCGCTTTAAAAGGTTCAAGTATATGTGCTTTTTCACTATCAGATTCTTTACTTTTTTGGAGTTTTACACATCAGTTTTACACAACTTGAAATAAATTTAATAGTATTCCAAATTGTCAATTTTCAAATCTCGTACGCTTTACGAAAACTGCAGGTCAATTATTTGATCGCAAGAGTAAATTGCATACTCAGTGTGCTGACATATTCAAAGTGGGGTAAAGTTTTTGTGAAGAACTATTATTATGATCACCGATATTGAACGATGAAAAAACACCCAGCGCAAATATTTCGTCACTTTTCAGAAAAATTGGATTGAAAATTCATAAAAACTAAATTAGCGGATACGTTCAGTAATATTTTTCTGCTTCCATTTTGAGAGCACTGGTAAACTTTTTGCATTTTTGTTTCTAAAAATCCCATTTTTTCTCGAGTGTATTTTTTTCGATTTTCGGCTTCAAAAAATGAACTCTTACACTGGTGAGGTCACCCTTCTTGCGCAACAGCTCTTCCTCTATCCTTCTCTCCTGCGCTTTTTGCTCTGCCAACTTTTGCAACATCATTCTCTGGTTGTCAAGTCTGCGATAAATAGAAGAACTATTCAGTTAACTTGTGGAAGTTGTTTAATGAAATTTTAACTCACAGACCGAAAGTAATTTTTTTCTGAAAACTTAATTTGGCTTCTGATAAATATCTGGCATATAATCCTAGTCTGGTGACTTTAATTTAAAAAAAGACATCTTTTGTTGAAAACTTGGATTGCCTATAGCAGCTCCAGATAATCTGGATCTCTTTACCCCCTCCCTCTTTCCAAAAGTGGGAGATTCGTTACTAAATATAAATCTCGAATATGCTCAGCTGTTGAATTAGTCCTTGAGAAGGGAGCATTAAAGGGAATTTAAATGGATTCGAGACGCCCTACTGACCTGGTCTTTTCCAGTTTCCTCTCTAGTTCCCTCACTTGTTTCTCCTGGTTGTTCCTCGCCAGTCCCAGACTCCGCACATCCTGCGAGAGGTTCTTGCTCTTCGACTCCCGTTGACTCACCACTTTCTAAACAACCCAAAAATCAAAACACAATTTCACAGCCACATGGTACAATAGAAAATTAACAAGAAATCTGTCGCAGAGAAGGCAGCCAGAAAAAAAATCTATGCATCTGCACTCCTTACTTAAAATGAAATGTCTGAATTCAGCTCAGATTCTGGCACAGAAAGATTACTATGGACCAGGGGCGGATTTAGGGGGGGGGGCAGACGTCCCCCTCCCCCCCCTCAGGGATTCGACCCCCTGCCGACCCAAAGGGTCCCCCCTTTGGTACTTTTTAAGAAATCCATTTTTTGGCGACCGACCCTAAAATTTTCTAAAGGCGCCATCAGGGCCAATATATACTAACTTTGAGGGGGAGCGCGCGCCAAAAAAACGCAATTTTTTTGTCAAAATTTTTCAAAAAGTGCCTAAAAACGGCTTTTTTGACCTGTTTTTTTAAAAATTTGCCTGCGGCGCAGAAAATTTGGCCAACACAGGGACCTTTTAGTGCTTTAGAAGAGCTCGGAAAATCAATTTGGTCGACCTAAAAAAAGGGTCGTCAAAATTTTCGAAAAATTTTTGAAAATCCGCCCCACCCTCGAAAAAAATCCTAGATCCGCCCCTGCTAAGGACTGATGATGAAGTAACATATAACCCGGTTTCTATACTCAGTTAAGAGAAAAGAGTAAAATTTTAGATGAATGTGTTTTACCAAATTTAGGTAAACAGAAATTGTTTTGTGTCCTTTATGCGATGTTTGCTGTCATAGATTACATAATATGTTTCGCAAAACTTTTTGTCAATGAGCGAATTAGCCATAGTTAACACGACCATATTCACAGTTATGATTGCGTAACAGTTATACAACGTGAAAACTAATTGGTCCATTCTGGACTGACCTCGAGTCGTTGTTTGACGTCGTCCATGACGTATCTGCGGGAGTCTATCTCGTTGTTCCAAGCTCTGATTACGGCGTCCTCCAGCTGTTTGTCAGTTTTGAACTGGCTCCTAAGTGTAGTGTCCACGTCCAGAGCTTGTTTACGGTCACCCGCCGCCTAAAAAAGTGCCGAGGGTACTTGAGACAAAGCCAACAGACAGTTGAAAAGATATAAAAAACTCAAGGAAACAAAAAAACGAATTTCAAGTTTTATAGAACAAATCAAATCAGCTTAAAAAAGAAAAACTGCTGGACATGCATCCTGACATCCTGCAAAGTTCTCAACCTCAAAAATACATCGACAGACAAAAAAAAACATCAATGTCTTGGGACAAAAAAAACATCGATGTCTTTTACATAAAAAAAACCAGGGATGATCTATTTAATGACAACTAAAATGGCTCATGCTATACGGTACATTCTTGGCTCACGTAATTGCGCAAACGTTTTTCCAACTCTCTAAGCCGACCGTGTGAGAAGTTAATTAAAAATAATTTTGACAATTTAGGCTCAAGTAAGGTTGTACATAAAAAAGCAGTAAGAGAGTAAAGAAACCATTTCCACAATAATGTGAGACAATTCGATTTTTTCTTGCGCCCTGTGGTGAATGTCAGGGCTGAAATTTACCTTTGCAGACAACAGGTACTTTCTGAGGTACCTGTCGCATAGTTCTACGTTATCACGGTCAGACAAGCCGAGATTGGCAACGACAGGGGCACTCTAACATCACAATAAACATTTATTGATTAGAAACTTCATCGAGCATGTAAAAAGTGAACACGCTGAGTCAATTAATAGAAAACTAAAAGAGTTGTTTTAATTAATAAAACGATGGTTAATTGAGCAAAAAATTTAAAAGCAACAAAAAAAACTTGACAATTTTTTCTTTAAACTTTCTTCGTAATTGCACATAGTACCCAAAAATATAAATTTTGATATCCAAATCAGCTCACAGGAACTGCATTTATTTACAAAGGATAGTCTCATTTGGTTAAACCTCGGAAGACATTCGCGTTGATTTCATTGTATTTCGTTACATTAAAATCTCTTCTTGTTCAGTAACAACTATTCTTTTATTGAATTTTTAAATTAATTTCTTTTTGTGAGAGCATGAATGTACTGTCTCACCTTGAGTCTGTTCTGGAGTGCGATGGCGTTGAGGTCTGTCTTGGTGGCATTGAGGGTCTTCTTCAGGTGATTCAGATGTTCACCCGTGTCTTCCATCTTCACTTTTGTAGACATCAACTCACGACCAGCTGAAATACAGAAAAGACCTTGGAGAAATCTGATTTTGGTGATTAGTACCAAAATGATGTCGTTCTTGTGGTGCTACAGCAGGTCAGGTGCTGTTGATTTGCCTCAGAACACAGCATAGCTGGAGCGAATCGAATCTATCATTTTTTGGAACGGCGACAGATTGTTAGAAAAATACTTTGGATTTCGTTGAAGTCCTTCGGTCAATCAAATCAATTTTAAGAACATAAACGCTAAAATTACCTTAATTCTCAAAAAATATCGAGCTGCTGGAAAATAATTCAGAACAGGTTTATTTTTGGGATTTCGGTTTTCTGTGCTCGCATCCCCCTCAAAGTAAGTATATATTTCGCCAAAGGTCTTTTGACAAATAGTAATGTCGGCCTTGACCCTCGATGGGGTGGTGATGGGGTCAAGATCCCAAGGAGTGAGGAAGGCGTGTCCTCTTCTTCCCAAATCTGCTATTGATTTGATCACATTTTCTAATACTTCAGACTACTCACTTTCTCTCTGTTTGACACCAGTAGTTCTGTTTCGACTTTCCAGAGCACGAGTGAACATTTGCTTCTCATTCTCTGTCTTCTTCTTCAATCTCATCGACTTCCTGTGAAACAAAATACGAAAACAAGTCAAGCAGATAATACTTTATTATCATTTTTAAGTGCAAAACTATCATATTTATGAGGTTTTTGCTCCTTCTAGCGATGAATGACAAGCGTTTAGATGATTTTGTTCACAAATAAATTGCTAGCCCGAGTTAATTTTTCTGGATATTAACTCGGATTTCAGCAGCCGATTGTAAGTTTCGTAAGCTTATTGCGAACACCCAGAAAAACAATAATTAGCCCTGATAGAACTAAATAAAAATGAAATCATCAGAACTGATTGCCGTCAAACTGATTACTTTCAAATCGTTAATGAACTCACAAAAGACTACTGGGTGATAACTCACTCTTTGGAGCTCTCGTAACCACTCTCAAGCTCCAGGTCCTCCTTCTCCCTCTGTCGCATCCTCTTCTGTACCTCCCTAAACATCATATGACATAATAAAGATGAAGATTACATAATAGGTGTCTGATATACCACAAAGATCTGCAGCTCTCTTCTGTGAGTAATTTTTTCAAGTTGATCAATGTTCTTTGTACAAATTCTACGGAAACTGATTTTCCAAATATCAAATGCAATTTCTGACAGGAAAGTTGTGGATGAGACCAGATGCGTAACTAAAACATTACACTTGAATACGCTTATCCGATTTTTTACCTCTTCCTTGAAGACATAGACTTTTCTGAAAACTTTTCAGTTATTTAAATAATGCACTAACTTTTCACTGGCCTCATCTATTGTTCCTTTCTTCTTCAATTCAGATGCCACTGCCAGACTCAAATCGCCCAACTCTTTCTTCAATTTAAACTCCTCCTCCTGAAAAACAAAGATTAGGGGGAAATGGTTTGAAGTCGCAGTAGTGACATGAGTAGGTCAATAAAATCATCTACACGTCAAGATCGGCATAAATGTGTCAGAAACGAAAAAAATTCATAACACGTTTATAACGTAATAAATTGTTGAATTACACGTCAGTTTTCGAAACTAATTTTCATTTTGGAATGAACAAAAAAAGTGGTTTAACACATTAAATTACATTGAATTGTTACGTGACGTTTAAAACGTCATTAAAGAGACGTCAATTGTCTTTTCGACCAACCCTGCGACATCAATAAAATCATTCACCTCTGCTTTTCAAACCTAGAACGTTAAGGCAATTGTTTTAGATTTAGAACAGTGTATTTTCATTAGAACTGTTTGACAGGGCTTTGGAAAGGCTATAACGAAGGACTTAAACTTTTGTTGAATTTGAAGCTTTTGTTGCGACTATCGATAGTCTGGTAAAAAAAACGACACTTCTGTTAACTAAAACGATAAAAATCTAAAATGATGCAAAGTCGGGTTGACGGTGGGTCAGAATTTTTATGGACATTGCAAAAAATTTGTGGTTTCAAATTTTGTATTTGATGGTTTCAAATTTTATATTTGATTGTTTCAAAGGAAAGATGCCTTGAATAGAATAGCAAAATTAGTGGATAAAAAGGATCTCACCTCTTTTCGTTTGAGTTTCTGTGTGAATTCTTGCGTGATGCGTTGAATCTCCAACTGTTTCAGATTCAGCTCTGCCATCTTTGCCTTGTAAGCTCGTTCCACGGTTGTTCTAAGAAATAAATGACTCCATTGTCATTGGAAATCAAAATTTAAAAACCACCATTGTTAAAAGCCACCATTGTTATCGCAAGGGTAATTATTTTTGCCGAATGACTGGGCTAAGAACAAAACATGTTTGCCAAATAGTAGTTTGCGCAAAAAACTTTTAAAAAAGTGCATTTGTTTCTAATTTCTCGCAGTCACAAATTTCTCAGAACCAGAACTAATAATGGTTGTCATATTCATACATAAGTTTTATTTACATTCAAGATTTTGTTTATATAAAAAGGACTCCCAATGAAAATTTAGCACTCCCATGGTCTATCATAGTGCTGTGTTTAATTAACACGAAATATGAGCTTGTAAAACAGTCGGTTAACGTTCCATTGAAAATCATTATTTGAATTAAACTTTTGGTTCTTACAACGACAAACAAAATCTAAAAATGCTATTGCTTTGAAGATTTGTCTTGAGTAAACAGATAATATATCCATTTCTTGAAAAAATGAGTCAGCAGGTTAACGACACCAAGGTGGATTTAGTTTTAGTGAGCAGCAATCCGTAACTGACAAAAAAAGATATTTTCAAAAAATCACAGGAAACAATAACGATCGCCTCAAAGCCCAGGTGATATACTATATAGCAATGTTTTGCGAGTTTTTTTTGTAAAAACTCCCAGAATTGATAGATTTAAAGCATGTGGCGCACTGCTTCAAGACTACGGTACCTTGGCAAATTTCGTGTTTTATGGTTAATGATTACCAGGGGCGGGGGCGGATTTAGGGTGGTGGGGTTTTCGGACGCCCCTTTTTTCAGGGATTCGACCCCCTGCCGACCCAAAGGGTCCCCCCTTTTTACTACTTTGAGATATCCATGTTTGGTGACGGACCCTAAAAACTTTCTAAAGGCGCCTTGGGTGCCAATATATACTATTTTTGAGTGGGGAGCGCGCGCCGAAAAAACGCAATTTTTTGGTCAAAATTTTCCGAAAAGTGCCTATAAACGCTTTTTTTGGCCTGTTTTTTTTACAGTTTTGCTTGCGGCGTAGAAAACATTGCCAAAACAGGGTCTTTTTACTGCTTTCGGATAGCTCGGAAAATCAATATGGTCGACCTAAAAAAAGTTTTTTTTTGAAAATCCGCCCCCCTCGAGAAAATCCTAGATCCGCCTCTGATGATTTTTTTTTTGAAAATCCGCCCCCCTCGAGAAAATCCTAGATCCGCCCCTGATGATTAGGACACCTCATAGTCAGTTGTTTTCTGTTGTAGACATGCCATGTTTTGCAACAATGCTTGCCAATTCCAAGTTTTTCTATGAAATTTCTTGTTGCTCTTGTTTTTGCTGCGTTTTCTTTACATTAACGGTAAAAAAATTGAAACTTGAAATTAACTTACTTCCTTGCTTTCCTGTAATTAAGCAGGGTATTCTGAGTTTCTGTGATACGCACCTCCATGGCTAACACAATAATTGAGAAAATTACTTATAAGATATATTTTTTTGATTGCACAAAGGTGAAAGGATGTAATATAAATGCAGATCGTAAGGAAACGGGCGTAATCAATAACTACTTTGATAACATAGGTTCGATATTGGCTTCAGCTTTAATGACGCACACAACAGTCATGGTAAAAAAAAACAAAATGGTAAAGCTGTTACTTGTTCCTAATATACAACAGTATTTCAGATTTTAGTTCGAGGAAAAACTAATTGCATCATTATCAATTCTCCTTCAGATAAAAACGATGCACAGTTGATGAAAGAGAACTGATTGGGATAACCAGTCCATTGAAAAGCAGAGCAATTTCCTCAACTCACGAAAAGCCTTCACAAAAGTTATCACAAATTCAATTTAAGCAAAGGTTGCAAATGTGGATTAAAAAGACCAGCACATAATATTTCAGCTTCAAAATTATCAGATCGCAAACAGCATGAATCAATAGACCTCAAACGCTTACTCGGAAATTTTTTATTTGACCCATATAACTCAATTGTAGGACGACTTCAAATTTTTGTTTAAAAACGCTGTGCCAAAAATGACTGAAGTCAGGAAAATCTTTTTCTACAACCAGTCCACAGCTATCAAAATTGCATTGAAAGCTCAAAATTAGTTTACAAAAGCATGAAAAAACTTTATCATAGACTTAACGATAGTTAACCAAAACCAACTGACATTGAATTTAAATTAAATCTGAATAGTTCCGTTCCCTAAATGAAACAAATAATTAACTAGATAATTAAATTTAAAAAAAAAAGAAATATACCAAATTTTTAGTTGAAACATATTCTGTGAAACTATATACCAATTTGCAGGGTTTAAATTTAAAAAATATCCAGCCTATAACATCACATGTTAAACCTGTAATTCCATAAGGCGTATACGGGTTGACATCCAAATCAAACTAGACAACTTGATTGTTTTAAACACACTGACAAGAGTGCTAACCCTCAAAAAAGTATCTAAACAGTATTCAAAAACGTATCAGTATATAAACTAATTGCAATAGAAAACGAAAATTTTTAACCTAAAAGAATTACATAGATACAAACTTTCAAGATGAATTTCTCCGCGGTGAAAGTGAACGTGATACTATTATACATATAATCATTGTATAAATATTTGTCTCCCAAGTTTTTTTTCATAATCAGTTTGAAACTTTTTTTAATAATAACAGTTTTTGCTCATACTTTTCAGCTTCCTTCATGCTTCGTTCTAGTTGTTTTTTTTTTTGTCTTGTATTGTCAATAACCTAACTTGACTTGAATTTTTTCTATAATATGTAGGACATTACGACAATTGTTACCGCTGGTATTAAAGCAACATACGGTTTCGAAAAATGTTTGCGCTCAGTTGACTTTTGCAACCTGCCATGATTCGTCTAAACGCAATCTCTCAGACTGGGTTCTTTTAGAATAATATATTCAAATGAATGTTTGATTTTGGACTCATGAGGAGAAAAATATTTTGTCAATTTCTTTTCTTTTTTGTTTTAATTCCGTTTCTATGTGATACTCCCATCCCCCTCCCCCTCCACAAATAATTTTTGTCAGTGTGTGTTGTGTTTGAAAATGACTCACAGTTGTAGGTCTGACTTCCTCTTGCTCTTACTAGTGCTCACTTGATTGTTTCTGTTCTCCGCAAACCGAGTGAAGGCACGCTGAAAGGCCCATTTATTAAGAAACAAGTCTTGGAGAATAGATAGCTTGAAGTTCTTTGGTATTTAGACTAACAGGTATTTCGAAACGAAGTTTCAAGTTTTGAGAAATTGAAAATAAAAAGCCTCAACCGAGAGCTATAGCTATTCGTTTGATTGCACCAACCGAATTATGAAAAAGCTGATTTCCGGTTGCTTGTTTTCAAAAAATCTCAAACTATGGCTTATATCTATTTACTTCAATAGTAACTTTGTTATAACAATACCATGATATTTATAAAGAACAAAAATGAAAACATTTATAATGTTTTTCATTTTTGTTCTTACCTGACCGTACCTCTTTGCGTTTGTGTGAGTACTCTTGGAGTGATCTGGCACTTGACTGGTCTAGTCCCTTGAGCTGCTGGTCTTTCTTGTCCATGCGACTGGACACCACTGGAACCACGGACGAATTAAATCATTGCTTCAATTTTTATTTTAAAAAATGAAGCATTATCTGCAATTTGATGAAAAGCTATTGCACAGATGGTAAGGCGACGTTTTTTATTAGACCAATTACTTAGGTAAAATGGAAGTTCAAAATATGATTGATGAATTCAAATTCAGTATTTCCCTCAATGTAAAGATGGAACAACAGATGCAATATCTCTAACCTGACTCGAATTTCTGGAATGACTTTTTGATGCGGTACTGGTTCTTGTTCAGGTCTCCCTCTAGCCTCCGCAGATCTCGCTTCTGGGCTCGGGTTAGCGATATGTTTTGCTAAACAAACAACAACGCACATAAAACAGTGTTTAATTTCAACGAGATTGATTTGTAATGCAATTAAGACGTTCTTCAAGGCTCAATTTAGTATAAAAAAGACATAACTTAATCATCGAAATCGCTGCTTACATATTACAATCACCATACCGTGTTTTTTGAAAACCTTTGGCAGTTTTTACGCAGAGGCGAAGCTGAGCTTCGTACCACGTGCGATACAGACAACAAGCGAACTTTAAAAAAATTAAAAAACGCCAAAAAAAACTACATTTTCATGTGCATTTCAAATGTAACTCATTTTGACGAAAACCTGTGGCAAAACACAACAGCCAGCTTTGAATCGGCATTTAAAAATAACCGAGTGGTGGTAACTTTGCAGACAAAACTTCAGAAGACGCTTGTTGAGCCGGGAAAAGTGGTCAAAAACAGTCCCAGCGTTGGATCTCAAGGACGGAAAATGTCAAGAAATCTTGAAATTTTTTCCAAATGTCGATATGCCATTAAATTAAGTCGATTTCCAGCAAAAAGACTAAGACATTATGATGAATTAGGACGACAAGTTGCTATGAATTTAGTTTAAAAAATCCAAAAGAAAAAGCTGCCGAAAAACTGTCGTCTATTTCATTTTTCTTCGCTAGCAGAAAAATTTGGTGAGTATATAAAAAAGCATAATTACATATTAATCTGCTTTGCTTAAACTTGAGTTGCAACAAAAAACACATAATACACAAAAATAGGGAATGACTTATTGCACACAAAAAACGAAGACCGAGAAAAAAACAAATTCGACATTTCAAAAAATTCTGAGAACCACCAGCACAATATGGATAAAAATATCTTAAAGATAATTTGTGATCTAAAAGCCATTACGGCCTCTTACAACCGAGTCTCGAGTCTCTTGCTAAAGAAAAATATAGCTCCACAAAAATATAAAGTTTCGCAAGCACTTGAACCAAAATAAAAATCAATTGACGATAAAACTGATTGAAAATTATAGCAAGAAAACTGAGTTGAACTTATGACTTCAATTACCTCCTTCGCCAAAAAGGGTATGATAATAACAGCAATAACAGGGGAAAAAATTAGGGGAAAACAAATAGAAAATAAAAACTCAGGAGTCAGGAAAAATGATTTTAAAATAACAAAAATACCATGTCAACTTTGCATCAATATCAAAAACTACCCAAAACTTTAAAAAATGATGTAAATAAGCCGACAGAATTAAAGCCCGCTTTTAATAGCTGAAAACAGCAGAAAAATTTTCAGAAAAACACCGAAAGATCTTGCATCTCCCAGTTTACAAGCACTAGCAATGCAAGCATTAGTCGTATAATATATAAGTAAAAAAAACTAAAATGCATATTTGTAAATTTACCATTTTGAACTTCTCTCTTTTTCAATTTACCATTTGAATTTACTCATTTTAAATTTACCATTTTTCTCTAATTTAGAATTCACAATTTTGAATTTCACGATTTTGAAGGAACCATTTTGTAATCAAAATCGTTTACGGGAAAAAAATCTAGTACCTGGTTCCAACACTTGTTTATCAGAGGTTAAAAAAAGAGTTTTATGACAGAAGCGAAAAGAAAAACATTTATAGGCAGCATTTTGACATATTTTTCAATTTAGCGTTAGCATGAAGCAACAGCATTTGGCGTCCACATAACTAAAATACTGATTATCACACAGAGACGAAGTAAAAGTTCGCACCACATGCGATACCACACAACAATTAAAATGCAAGCTAGCGGACAGAAAAAGAGACGGAAGCCACTAAGTTAAGTTGATAAAACCTTGAAACAAAAAATCCCGGAAAAACTACATTTACAAAAATTCATACAACTCTTAATCCCAAACAAAGTATTTACGCCCTGTGAAAAAAAGAAAATTAACAAATCTATTTTTGTTTCAGAAAATGGGACAAAAAGTGACTTTTCGATATAAAATATGCCAAAAACAAAATAAGCCAAATAAACCTTTTGAACAAAAATTTTTTCAAAGAAAATATTCTTAGACATGGCATTAAAACTACACGCTACAGGATGAAACCAAATAGTAGCAAAATTAGCTTAAATCACGATTTAAGTCCGCGATGGGGCAACTGAGCCGACAAAAATAAGCAGACACATAATGGACAGACAATTTTTTGAAAAGGGTCAGTTTTATCCCGAGCATGGACGTTAATGATACACCAGATTGCTAGAAAATAAATTGAATTTATACATAAAACTTAGCATGACAGTTGGAAAAGAGCAATGAACGCAAGGAAACTGAAAAATAAACTGACTTGATTTTTCAAAAATCTTCAATTTTGAGTTTCGAAGAAAAAAATAGATGGCGTTAAAGCTCTTTGAATTTGTAAACAATTTATGATGGACAATTTTTTGCTAAAGTTAACCTAATTGGAGAAAATTGGATCAATAGGTAAAAATTTTATTTGGCAGGGAAATCTGATAATTAATTTCCATTTTCGAAATAAGAAAAGATCACGTTTTTCGTGACTTTTACACTTTTGCTGTTCGATATTGGAGCTTTCCTTCCTTTTAGCAATGCAAATGTACTGAACTTAAAAAATCATAAGTCAAACTGCAAAAAATTAAAATTGAGCTGGAGCAAATTTGAAGACTTTTCCTGAAAAAATACAAACAAAAAATCAGCAAGACCTATATAAGAGTACTCACTACGTTCCTTACCCTTAAAAAAATCAACAATTGAAATCATTCAATAATTCTGTTAAATAACGTCTATATTCCAAATTGATAACGCTTGATAATTGCGGCAGCACATTCAAAATTACGGCTGAACATTCAATTTCCGATCAAAATTAGCTATCAAAAATTTAGAAACTAAACAAGCACAGCCAGTTGCTGTACAAGAAGCTCTAAAAATGCTTGAATATGACTACGTATTCAAGTGAGTCAAAAGATACCACACTTGACTCACTGTTTTCGTTGAGATAGTCAAAATACATCAGGAAAAAGATCCCAAACTATAGCTTCTTCCCGTCTCTTGGAGGATCTGAATCATAAATCTGAAAAACGCAAAAAAGGGTGGGTCGCAACAAGAGTGTTTCTAGTTGCACTTTTTTTAAAGGATGGATGAGAACGCTAGCCTCACCAACCAGTCAGTTATAGCTTGACTAATCTTCAAATTTGGAACTTAAAAGGCTTGATTGAAAACTCAATGGCGTCGCGATTGGTGAGTGGAAGAGCAGCGCTCGGAGCAATTATCGTGCAGTCTATGCATTTAAGACATCGAGAATAGGATAACAAACTGAGTACTAGCAACGCTATCTGGCTCTATAAAGATCTCTTGCCTCGATAGTGCGTAGCTGGTTCATCCGCTCCTCCTCCAGGTCTTTTGTGGTGCTGAGTGCATCTACCAGACTGCCCACTGACCTTGACCTCTTCACAGGCGTCTGCGGGAAGTGCTTCTTCGCCTCCACCCCCTTCATCGAGTCTATCGCTCCCTGGGGTCCAAAGGCTCTATCTTGAGCTCTAAAAACAGACGCAGTTGGTACAGCACAATCACTTCCGGGCAAGAATTTTTTGCTCGTGATTTGCCTAACTCTTTTTTAATGTGCAAGCATGATTTTTTATTTCACCAGCTGAAGTTTTAGGTGCACTTCGATCGCACTATTTTTTCTTGAATAAAAAAAATCAACCTTCCCCTCGCCACAGAACCGCGTTATTTAGATTAAACTAAAATCGCTCAGCTCTGCATATCTCATACATTTGACTTCGATCGATTAAAAACTCAAAGTAAGAAACAAAATTACATCCTACCCAATACACTACTTACAACAGAGGAGGAGGATGCTCAATGAATTGTACAAATTATACAAACATGAAAATTATACAGATCAAAAATCTCTTTTTATTTTTATTACATTTAATTTATTCATGTTATTACTGCTCTATAGACCTGAAAAGGCAGTCGGAACATTCAGGGCTTCGCCCTGATTCGAGCAGTGTTTTTTTTTACTTTCGAAGACAGTGATGGAAAATTTGCGCTCGGCGGAGTTGTTTTTTTTCTCGGACTTAACAACTCGATTTTTTGTTTTTGTTTATCATCTGAAAAATTTCATGCCCTTTCACGTGTGATTGTTTTTTGCAAAGTAATAGAGGTTCAAAAATGGCCAATTCGGGACAAATAAACCGCGCTATATTCCGTGCTATTAAAGCCTGATCGGCGATTGAATCCAGCACAAAATTTATTCCAAATGAATAGCGGCGAATAACTTGGTCTAACTGATACGTTCTTGGACGCTAAATGAATTACTTAACGCTTAAAATCTGGTGATGAAAATTTTAGTTGTTTGCGCCAACTCTTATCCTAAAGCCACTCAATTTTCAGTGGCTATCTTTCATTGTGACTATCCTTCTTGAACTTTGGTCACAGAAAACTTTAACGCAAAAAGGGGAATCCAAGAAATTATTTGATTACAAAAATTGAACGAGAAAAATAAGCAAAAAGCGTTGAGCAGTCATAAATGGAGTCCAAACAAACATCCTGAGTGTACATTGAGAGCACCCCGATAAAGTGTTGAGTATTTCGAACTTGGAAATTAGTTTAGTTCTTAATTTTTCGAAATAAAACGGCCCGTTTTCTACGGTGACTAAGTCAAAGATTCTGCCACTCGACCACTGTGCTTTATAGCTATAAAACATAGTTTACCATTCAATATCAGGTAGTATTGAATGCTGTTTAATAGAGACGAAACGATGAAACACGAAACCATTTTTAAAACAGTGAACACAGATAAATGAGAGGAGGTCCTATCTTATGGAGGGGAGAGACTCAGCTTGCTACGTTAGAACACCGTCGTGTAATTTTCCGTCGTCTTTGTTGGTTAAAATCTTTCGTAGTTTTCAAAAGAGAAAATGTATTTTAAAATGTAAGAAAAAAGCTACGTTTCACAAAGTAAAAAGTTTTTTGTTACAAAACGACTTAATTAGAAAACGAATGAAAAGAAACAAAAAGATTAAAGGTTTTTTTTTCAAGGTAGCGACTATAAATTTTGCTTTAAAGTGATAGATTTGTGCATGGAATAATGTGTATGGAATAATGTATGGAATAAAAAGTATATAAAAAATTCTGCTGAAAATTACTCTAAGGGGCAAACAAATTAGTAGGTTATTGACCCCTCAATCGATAAGCTGTACTTCGCAGGTACAAGCAAAAAAAACGGCAAAAAACGCTCAAAAAATTGAACAAAAAAGGCTCAAAATAGAGACCGCTGTCGATCATGCTTTTTTTCTGCGATGACCAAGTTGAAGATTCGGCTGACGCCTTATAGTTAAAGATTATAGCCTTATTGACCAATGACGCCTTACATCTATTACATTCACACAATTTTTACCAGTTAAAACCAGGCTGTTGTGAATGCTGTTTAAGAGATGATGAAACACAAAAAAAAATCATATTTTTGAACAAAGTGAACCCAGGAAATTGCTACTCTGTTTGCAGAAAAAATGAAATGTTCCTCTTTTTAAAAAGCGAAAGAGTAACTTCGGCAACCGTTTTCGTCAGCATAAATGACCGAGCTGAATTCCTAATCGTGAATAAAAGCAAATCGCATAACTAGTCAGCGACTAGAGAAATCACTCGTTCGTTTAGAAGCAATAAGTTAGAAAGCCGTACTGAATAGACAATTTAAAGAAAAAAACAACTACAATTTCCGCATCAAAATGACTTTTACCGAAATAAATTAAAGAATAGTAAGTGGACTGACTTGAGGAACTCGGCATATGTAAGCGGCTTCCTCCTGCGCCTCGATGTCACATCGCCCCTTCCCCCCTCTGTGTCACTGCCATAGTCCCCCACAACCACATCTGACTCCTCGTCCTCGCTGTCCTCGTAATCTGCACCCCCTATCTTCTGGAGGGGGGTCAGCTTGCTTCGTTGGAACACCATCTCGTGTAATTTTCCGTTTGCTTTGTTAAAATTTTTAGTAAATATCAAAGGAGTAAAATATATTTTCAAGAATTACGTTTCACGAGGTAAATTGTTGACTCTTTTTTGTTTTAATAGGACTGAAACATAAGAACCAAATACACAGAAATGAACTTTATGAACAATTTTTTATGGTTCAAGTTAGCAGCTATAATTTTGAATTAGAAAAATAATTTTAAAATAATATGTGTTTTTTATATGAAAAATATATCAAAAATAATGCGAAAAATTACTCTAAGGGGTAAACAAAATAGTAGGTACTTTGACACCGCAACCCATAAATTGGTCGCCGATTTTAAAAGGAATCACAATACATTCATAATCAGTTGTTTACTAGTACTAACTATTGTTCCTGTACACTCAAACAGTATGATTTAAAAATCAAAACACGTGCGTTTGGTAGCTTTAAAAATCTTGTACCACTAATCATTCAAATACTGTATTCAAATTGAATTAATCTAGCAAATTTATTGTTATACATAATACGGACCGCGTTGAATGGTACAAAAAATCGATAAACGCAGTCAAACGAAAACTCATATTTGATGCATTAATAAATCAAAGCGCACGTGGGGAATTGCTTATAGTTGAATATACAAACAAATACCTAAAAACCGTATTTAAAAAGTGCTTGGGACCAACATACTTTTCCACATCTGTCAAGATCAACCTCGTAGCGAAACAAAAACACATTGTACTTTGTACCTCGATTTCATTACCTAACACACGAGGTTTACAAATAAGGTTCTAAATCCGCTTATCAGAGAGCAATAATATATACCTTTGCTTTACCAGTTATAAATTAAAAAACAGATTGTGAGAAATGGAGGAGGAAAATTTGGGAGGAGACACTATGATCTCAGATTTCGCCACCTACGAGGACTTCCTCGATGCCCAGATAACAGTGGCAGATCTCTTCTACTTGGAGGTGAGAGAAACAAACCAATACTCTCATCTTTTTTTTTATTGTATTCATACTCAAAAAATGAAACTTCAACTGATATAGCATCGCGTGTTCCGATCATTTCCATTAGAATAACTCACCTTACCAAAATTTAAAAAGCTCGAAGAAAAAACACGTTAAGCATCGTAGAGCACTTTCTCAAAAACAGAAGAAAAACAAATAAACAGTAAATATTTCATGTTATAATCGTTGAGAGCATTTGAAAACAATTTGAGAAAATTTCGACCGCAACCAAACTCAGCCAGCCAAAATTTGTTAAATAAGTTTTTCAAATTCAAAACAATGATTGAACGCTACCATATTAGATCGCTAGAGCTTAATAAGATCAATGTTAAAACAAAAGGAAATGCAGTACAATTGAGTTTACATGCTCCACTTCGCTTTTTTGACGGCTGCGTACAAAAAATTTACAAGACACTTGCTCTCGAAAGTATACAAAACAATAGTAACAATATTATTTCGTGGGATAGGATGAGGATCTGGCGCGTCAGCTGGTGGAGTTGGGCTACAGGGGCAGTGGGGAGGTACTGAAGAGGTCCGAGTTCGAGAAGCGGAAGGAGTTGGCAGAGGCCTCCAAACTCTCCAAGACCAACCAGGAGATGTAAGTCTGGCCATGCTGCAACTGCTGAATTCTCGTGAGCACGACGTATACACACTTGAACTGCCTCCAACGACTAACCGGTGCTCATTATCGTAAAACAAAAACTCAAAAAAGAGATGAATAAAATCAAAAGAGTCCAAACAATTTCTCAGGCCAGCTTTCTTGAAACTGGAGCGCCTTTAAAAGCCGGGAAAGTTTTCTATGACGCGATCATTGTGTTCAAGACTTTTTATCTGAAACAAAAAAATCGATTCTAAGTCAAAATAAAAAAATCCATTTAAAACAATCAAAAATTTGTTTCTTATTTCTATTTTGTCATAAAAATTTGCAAAGTCGGAACATTCTGTGCTACTTGCACTGCAATCGCCTATCCCTATTCATTCTTAGGACTCTCGCCAGCTACGGGAAGTCGATCAAGAATCCTCTGCTGAAAGAACTAGCCAAACGAGAGGAGGCCAACAGATCCGGAAAGATGACAGTGAGTACTCGCCAAATATTAATGATTATTCACAGTACACATTGAAAACTAATTTTTGAATATTTTGTTAAAAAAACCTTGGAATTTTTAAGCATAAATTATAGGGCTTGACTAGAAACATGTTAGAATCACTAGACTTAAATCTTTGGTGCCTGTTAAGTCTTCGGCAAGACCAAAATCAGACGAAAGCGGTGATAAAAAAAAGTATATAAAATTTTTCCATCAGTCAAGTCAAATTATTAAAAACCTTAATGCCATATTTTTATACGCCACACAATTCTGCATTGCGACAAATGTCTTGGATTTCATTGACAATTTCCACTTATTCTGCATCAAGAGCGCTTAAAATAGGAAGTAATTCGAAAAAATATTGTATGTTCCAAGATTCATAATCCGCAAGCTCTAATTTTCATGCACAGCGGCGAAGCGGAGCTTCGCACCACTTGAGATACAACACAAACATAAGAAAAGATAAGTCGAAAAAAATTAAATGATAAAAAAAACCAAGTGAAGCAAAATTTTCGTATGTCTAGATAAAAAACAACTAGCGGCCCAACTAATTCTGGAGGTATGTTTTTGATATTGCATGAACTTGCTATACTGACGCGGCACAAAAATATGATTTCAAAAAATTGGACTTTGCCCAAAACCTTAAATGTTTCTCTACTAAAATAAGTGAGAAGAGTAAAAATTTTTTCGAGATAATCAATTTTCCCAAAGAGATAACTTTTCTCATACAAAAGATTCAGGTTCTACAGGCGCCATTATCGCAACCGGTTCTTTCAGGTGAACTTTTCATCTCAGATTGGATTCTGTAAATTTTAAGAAAATTCATAAAATTTATAAAAACGGTCAAAAGTTCTATAAAACGGTCAAAATGATTCCCGATTCGATGACTTTTTCCTGCAAACAGCAGGTTATGGCAGTTTAAGCAGAGAAGATTAAAGCCGGGTTTATCGATTGAACACCTGAGATTTGGACCGGTAATTTTCGCGTAATGTCAACAAACTTCCAAAAAACTGTCATAGATTCAAAACTTTGACTTGTTTGAAGGCCATAATTTTTTTCTGAAGCAAACTGGGCATAGCCCATTAAAAAGATAGGCTTTCAACAACCTGCTGTTTCGATTATTTCTATGATATCAGACTTGGCAGGATAGTTAGCGAGAAAAGTCCAAAAACTGTCGACTATTCAAAAAATTGACATTTTCGAGAATCATAGCTTTTTGTGTGAAAAAAAGTAGGCAGAAACGCGAAGCAGAAAGGATTCACGCAAACTGTAATTCCGATTGAACCCAAAATCTCAGATCTCGTGCAGGGAGCTTTGCCAAACCATTCTATTCAATGAAACCAAAAAATAGATTTGGGAGGGGTCTTTTTCGAAGGCTGTAGACAGAGGGTCAAGTAAAAAGAGACTCTGGGGGAGTGCACAGACACACCAGCGGATAAGTAAGCGGTCTGAGAAATGAATTTGGAAATAATTTTCCATAATAAAAAAAAGAAACTTCAACAAACCGATTGGACCAACAACCAACATGAAAAGTGCGGAATGGAGTGCTCAAGCTATGCTTCCCTTGAAACGACCCAAAAAAAGGCCATGAAGACATTAAAAGATAGGCCGAATAAATTAGAATTAATTTGGGCCAAATAATTCTTTTTATACGAAACAAAAAAAACAAAGAAGGAATTACGTAATCAGTAAAATTACAATTTTAAGGAGTAAATCAACCACTAAAAGCAACATTATAGAAAAAAGAGCGCAGCAAAAGAAAAACGATTCCAAGATCTGACAACTAAGCCGACAACAGATAAGCAGACAAAACACTGGCCCACAATTTTAGGTGAAACAGAAAATTTCCCGTTTAAAAAAAACAGGTCCTAGTCAGATTCGAGAGCAGGACCTTTACCGTCACAGACATATTCGTTACCTACAGGCTAAATTGGCTGGAAACGCTCAGAAGTTGAAATCATTATGAGCCAAGATACAAGTGATTCTGTTGCTTAAGTTGTCAACTCGAAAAAAGTCTATATTCCAGTTTGATAAAGTTTGCTAGTCGCAAGCGTAAAAAAGCAAAGACATGAGTTTGTTCAAATATAGTCTTCGTTTAGGCGTGAAAATTATACATAAAGCACCATCATGGAAAGGGAAATTGCTAAATAGGGAACTTGCGAATTTGCATTTGATTTCAGACAATAATTTTCATCCGTGACCGAAACGCAAAGAGCCAAGAAATCTCTGGATACATCGACTACGCCCATCGACTCAAGAGCGAAGACTTTGGACCCTACTTCACGGGAAAGAAGAGACTGCTGCCACGTGCTTCTGACCTCAGTTTCTACAACTGGGAGACGCAGAAATCGACCAGTAATCACACCTCCAATTTTGAAGTGATCACTGAAAACACTTCAGGGCTGTTATTTAAAAGCAAACGAGACCGCAAGATAATCAACGTCGACCCAAAAGTAAGTTATCGTATTTGAAAAGTTCCCATCAAACAAAACTCGTATTGTGCTAAATTTATATTTATGGTCGCAAATAATATTTCCACTAGAAGCCCAATTTTAAGAAGAAAATTTTCATCCGCTTTTCGTTTTTCTTTAATCGGCAATACTTCAACTTAATCAAACCATATATGGAGCTAACCACGGAAACAGGATGCTTATAGCTTATCCCTGTAAAAGGAATGCGATAGTTTACATTGCTTTGAAAGTTTCTTAAGGTTTAGATAACTTTTGCTTGATATCTAGTTAATCTGTCGGTTAATGCCTTGTCCCGTTGTCAATCACAGAGGCGAAGCGGAGCTTTGCAACATATGCGATATAATTTAAACATTGCATTAAAATATGTTGAATAGAAAAAAGAACTAAATTGTAAAAACAAAGTAAGCTGAAAAAGTCAAAAAAATCTATGCAATAAAAGTCGGCATAAGGATGAGGCTCCTAAACAGACTTAGCAAGCATTGATAATCAATGACCGAGCACAAATAAGTGTCTTTTTCCCTAAGTGTCTTAGAAAAATTTGAAAATGAAAACCAAATCCTATACATTTTCATAATACATGTGTTTATCAAACAGGAGCAAACTGTTTGAATAAAAAGCCTATGCTTTGGAGGGAAACTACTCGAAAAGCACACCAGATTATATAAATTGCATTCCGAAAAAAAAATCGGGAAGCCAGCCGAAACTTATTTATTTATAAATAATAAATTTATTTAGAAAAAATAACACAGAAGTACAGCGGAGCTTCGCACAGCTTGCGATACATCACAAATACAAAAAAGACAAAATTGAAGTAAAAAAAAATTTTTATTTTAAAAATCTAGGTGAACCAAAATGTTCAGGTCTCGATAAAAGAAAACTAGAGGCACAGCTAAAGCTGAAGGTAGCTGTTTAAAATTTTTGGAATTTGTTGACCTTTGCCCAAAATCTTAGTTGTTTCTCTACTAAACTAAGTGACAAGATTGAAAAAAAAACAAGGTAAACCAAAATGTTTGTAGGTCTCCATGAAAGAAAATTATGGAGCCCAGCAAGAGCTGAGGTAGTAATTTGATATTTACTGATGCGGGATGAAATAGGTTATTTCAAAAATTGGACTTTGCCCAAAACCTAAGTTGTTTCTCTGTTAAAATAAAAGAGAAGAGTGGAAATTTATGAGAAAATGCAATCTTCTCAAATACATAATATTTTCTTGCAAAAATAAGGAGCTGCCGCTTCTCTAGGAAAAATTGTTTCTAAAGACGGTACAACAAACCAATTATTGACATTTCCGAGAGCCATTACTTTTTCTATACAAAATTTGGGAGTAGCCGCACATGCACGAAAATTTTCCACAAATCGTTACTTGAATTGATACCAAAAACTCAGACTTGGGCGGGTGGGTTCCGAGATAAGTCAAAAAGATTTTTTAAAAAAATGTCAAGACAATAAAAAATTTGACTGTTCCCAGGGCCATGACTTTTTGAGGAGACAAATTTGGGCTCAGCCGTTAATGCATGACCCGTGTTATCTATTAGCATGACCCGTTTTATCCATTGAACCCAAAATCTCAGATTTAGAAGGGGATTATTTGAGAAAATGAAAAAAAAATTGAAAACATGGGTCAAATATTCCCCCATAGACTTTTTTGAAGGCTGTAGACAGTAGGGTTAAGTAAAAAGAGACCAGATGATGCAGCGCACAGGTGAGTAGGCGGTCTTCCCATTGATACGTCGTTTTTAAAACTTGGTAGAGTAGTTTCTACTGATTTAAATTTTTTGCAAAAAGTGAATAACTTTCAAAAGCTTCTCAAAAACTTAAAATAAAAAAACCCAATTCCATACATTTTCATAATACCTGAGTTTGTCCGATAGGATTTTTTTGGCCTTTGATATAACACATAACAAAATGACTAAGCCGGTACAACATCAGCCGAAACCATTTATGTGTACAAAAACTTGTTTACCGGGAAAAAATCTAGTTCCCGATTACAAGTCAGTTGCTCTTGCAAGTGAAAAAAAAGCAAAATCTTTCAAACAACTCAATAAGTTATTTCCTAATTTCTATGTTTCAGGCTTCCACGCCAGGAGACAACTCAACTCGGACCAAAATAGAAAACAACGAAGAGTACCCGCCTCATTACAACCAGATTGTTCTGTACGACCACATCACCAGACGAAAGACCTAAGCTCGCATCATGTGTCTGAACTTAATTTGAAGTCTTTGGAAATTATTTCCGTGCAAATCAGACAAAATGAAAATATACATGAAGAGCTGTTCGTGATAAACATGATCAAAATTTAACACAGAGCTTCGTATCAGTTGCGATGTAACTAACTAAAGCAAAAATGCTACAAAATAAAAACATGACTTCTCGTATACCAGGGGGAAGCCCTTAATGTTTCAACTGCATTTTAAGGCCAATTAAAACAAATTTGTTTGAAAAACTGACGAAATAATAAAAGTAGAAAACAGTTTCAAACCATTTTTTCTTCAATCTATCCCCAACGTTAGTGTAAGTCACAAAAGGATGTAATTAGCGTCTCTTCTAATAATCAGACCAATGAACTACACCAATTGAATTTGGAGCGCATTAACCAACCGCTCAGTCCCCTTGTCGAAAAACTTACTTACACTTATTTTGCTCATCAAATGAAGCAATATAACGCCACGGAGCCAATATAATATCACTCGAAACCTTTTAATTTCCTTTCAAGCCAAACAATGAGAACATAGCCAATCGAAGATCGGAAAAGACTAATGAACGCAAGGAAACTGAAAAACGACCGACTTGTTTTTTTTTCAAAAACCTTCAACTTTTGAATTTCGAAGAAAAGTAGATGGCCTTAAGGGAGCTACATAAAGCAGCTACACATGCTAATAAATTGCCAAAGCCATTCAGCAAAAGTGGCACAAATCACCATTAGTATTAACTTTGAGTATTAAATTTGAATATAACAAATTGAAGGCATCCACAGTAACTTTGCAAGTAGCAAATCGCAAAGCATAAAGCCACATTATGCTGAAATTATGCATTTCAAAAAATTGCGAGATATATTGAGTTAGAAAAATTCTGAAATCGAGTTTTCATTATTGTTCTGTTGTTTCGGTTCATTCGATGAATTAAAAATACATCAACTGTGTTAACTTATTGCTATTCGAATGTCAAAGCACATGCTAAAAGAAAGCTGTAAAGGTGTCCCAAAAGTGGCACCAATATTTGCGACTTAGGTTGGAAAAAAAAAGATGGATCGTACAAATACACTAGCTTCGCAAGTGTAAAAAAACGGGAATTGTACTTAACTCGGAGTTGATAAATTTACAAACGAAATAAAACAAATTTTGACACATCGGCGAAAATTGACATTAGCTGTTTGAAGGTCAAACTATAAAAACACTGCCAAACATGCAAAAAAAACCTTCAGAACTAAATTAGCTGGACCATTATAACTTGGAAACTCTAAATTACTTGCATTATTACAGTTGTAACTCAAGGGAACGTCAAAAAAGCTTCGATTGCAATATAAAATGAATCTCATCTAGAAGGTCCGTTCTGCGAAATTTAAGCCGAATTAAGCAGACAGACGATAGTCTAAAACTGCCGAACATTTTCAATTTTTTTTATCAAATCATAACTCAAAGGGCTTCCAATGGACATTGTACGATGCGACGCGTCTTCGTTGTTTATGGTTTTATGAGAGAAAAAAATCGAATATCCGGAATACGGAGTTTCTTTCCACTTCATGGTTAGAACAAAAAATCAGCCCAACTAAGCCGACAAAAATGTAGATGTCAGCCATGAAACCAACAAAAACCAACTTTTTCTAAAATGTTCCACCTAATTTCATAATGCGTACTATCCAAAAACCCCCCACGCATGGTAAAAACTACGCACAAAGCATCAAAAGCGATAGGAAAAATAATTGCCAGATGTGACTGTAAAATGAACTTCTTCGGTCCCTCTTATAAATCTGTGATCAAAACCAGATGATGAAACATAAATTTGCCGAACTAAAAAATAAATAAAATACTATCTGTAGGAAACCAAAACTTTTCCGGCTTTTAAACTAAAGATTCAAAACAGTTTGTGTGACCAGAGTTCACTCTACAGTCTAATCACTTCCTTGCTTTAGTCGCTGATTTGGCTATTGTCTCCGATTTCTTCGCTATCTTCGGCTTAGAAGAACTTCTAGGCAATTTCGGCTTTCTGGGAGTCGAATTTGATCTCGAAGGAGTTTCAGCAGGCGACTGCTGCATTTGACCTTGAGCTGCTGGCTTTTTCTTGGGGAGCTTAAAATACCCAGCGGCACCGGTTGCATTTTCATTGGCATGTAGTATAGTCCCTTCATCCAACATAGCCAAAATGTTCTTCCTTATCATTCCTGTCAACAATCTTTCCTTCACATTGAAATGTTCTTTGACATATTTCTGAATAGCAGCCCTGCTTACGCCTCTTCGATTGTTCAAAGATGTTAGAGCTTCTATAACGGGCTCTTTTTTCTTTTCCCACGAAATTTATAACTTCCCTAAAACAGCTTAGAAAATTGATTATTATCTTGTATAGTTCTGGACAACCAATTTTTATTAAATCTGCCTTGAAGCGAACCAAAAAAATTGGCATTTAAAATTTTCATCGTTAAACTTAAATGCAAACAAGCTCAAATTTTGCAAAAAATCGACCAGATGGGAAAAGAAAAGAGGCCTATAATCATTTCGGAAAATTTTGGATTCTTGGCAGGTTTGGATGTGTGTTGGGGCGATTGAGGCACTGGCGAAGGGGATCTCTCCATTTTCCTCTTCTTCGCCGACTTGATCTCGTCTCCTTTCTTCTGTTCCTCTCGCTCTTCGTTTTTCCTCTTCGATCCTCTTCCCATGAATGACCAAACTGTGAATAACTTTACAATAAAATTTAAAATTCACTGTCAGAATCTCTGAATTAGAAACTAATCTTTCAGATAAAGCAAGTGTTGACAAAACAATCAAAATTTTTACCGAATTCGGTTGAATTTCAAATTTCAGACGGTAAAATTACCAAAAATTAATTGTATATTTGCGCTTATCTTATTTTCACACAAGCAAAACGCTGAATTCAACTTATTATAGTTATCATAAATATCAAATTTTGTATGTGCAATTTCTATTTTTTTTTTTCAAAAAAAATGATTGAAACATTGAATGAAGAAAACATTTCCAAAAAGCCAACGTTTTTACTTTACCTTGAAATCAAACTGAACAGAAGAAAAGTCTGAATGCGAAATGTCATAAAACGGTCATTGAATGCGTAATCAGTTCAACGTGAATGAGAGTTTAAGCTTTCAAAAAATTCGAATCGCATTTTGTGCTCGCAAAACTTTCGCTCAACGAATATTGGAGGCTCAAAGGCTCGGAGTTTCCTCTGCGCATAAAGTTTTGAGATTTATACTATATAAATTCTCTGTAGTTTGATGCAATCAAATTTAGACCCTTGTTAACTATTCCCCCCTCTGCCTATGGTACCTAGTAAAAAATTTCCAGCCCTATAAAGAACTAATTCAACGGTTAAGCAAAATAAAATGATTTTTTTTACTTGTAACGAATTTTTTCCCATCTGCAATAGGGGAAAATAGTTAACAAGAACCCAATTTGAATACCAGCAAATACTATTGAGACGAAACGGACCAAAAAATCATGAAAGTGGATTTGGACACGGCAAGGGTCAGGCAAAGCAGTTGCAATAGATCTAACTCATTTTTCTGCTGTATTCTTTTCTCCGCTTCTGATTTCAAAAAAAAGTATGGTTTGCTAGTTTGAGTAGTTATTGGGCCTTTGAGCACCAGGAACATGGTTTTTTAAATATCACAGCGCTGCTGCTAACTTTTTACCACTGCAACTTGGACAAGACATTTGACCAATTAAAAGAAAAACGTGACAAACCCACAATTAGAATCTTCGAAATTTTGAAATTCACAAAACAAATTACAGCATCGAGAAACCAATTCAATTTCAGAAAAGTATAGTGAGAAAACTCTAAAACAGTCTAAGAATAAGAATTTTAAAACAAGAGCGATATTTTCCTCAATTGCAACCCACTAATGTTATTGATAATTTACTCGCCACTTAAAATTCAAGTTGAAAGACAGACAAGACTGCTCGTACCAGTGCGACCCAAATGCAACTTAACGTCTATGGAGGAAGTTTCAACACAGAGGCGAAGCGGAGCTTCCATCACTTGCGATACAACGCAAGTGCAGCATTGCAGGCTAGTGAGTCGAAAATGCGAAGGAAATAACAAAACCGAAGAAAATTGGGAGGAAAATGAAAACAATTTCAGAAAACATTCGTTAAATACAACACTCTTAAATCAGTTTTAAGAATTTACCAACTGGCACCTAAGCTGATTACAAGTGTTTCGACGCCAATTGATTCGAACACAAAAATTGTCATAAAACATGTTGTCAAAAAAAGTTTTCAGCAACCAAGTTTAAAACTATAAAATTTTTCGACAAACAACCTGATATTTTTTGCCTTTGAAGCAGATCTATCTTTTCTGCTTTTGAAGCAAAACCGAATAAAGTAAAACAGTCCTTAAAAGATGAGCCGAAACCATTTAGGCCGAATAAAAGTTTTGAGCGAAAAGAAAATAAAAAGGAAAATCATTTAAAATACACAACTAAGTGGTATTCATTTTACAAATGTCAAAAGTAAGCCAAATCACTTGCATCTACAATGAAAATTGCTGCGAGCACAAGAAAATCCACATTGTGGCAACTAAACCGACAAAACAAAAGCAGACAAACGAAAGTCCGACAATTCAAGTTTTCCCGAAAAAAATTCAATTTCATAAATACTGAAAAAAAAACAAGGTCCAACCGGCACTCGAACCGCAAACCTGAGGGTCAAAAGCATCCGCGTTACCCCTGGGCCAACTGAGAAAACATCTCGGAGCTGCTAAGGTTCTCGAAAATGGTAAGTTCACAAATTCTGAGAAAGGTGTAAGAAAAGGTGTAAGGAAAGGGGTTTTCCTTCAAATCCGGCCTTGAAAGCTACCAGACTAGTGTCATTAGTAGTCTTGCTGTTCTTGGTTTATAGACCACTATTGGCACAACTTTCTGTATTAGTGGAAACGAGAACGGGGGACTGTTCTACAGAATCCCCTGCTGATTGTGAAAGCTGTTGGGATACGTTAGTGTGGCACCTCCTAGTGTGGTGTAGTCCTTTGCGGTGGGGTCAGCAGTAATCGGATCTACCCCAGTGTACCTTCGGATTTGGTCTGCGCTTTTGGGATTGTATTTTTACTTCCTATTGCTAGCATGATGTAGTCGTCGTTTTACTGGGACGGCTGCAATATCAACAACAGTTCATCAAACGAGGGCATTTCTGCCAACGTCACACGACGCGTTGCCCATTGCTCAACGACGAAACCGCGAACCTTGGAAAGCTTTGCTTCGGCAAACGTAAACCTTGGGGGTCACTCAACAGGCGAAGCGGAGCTTTGCACCTCTT